ATCTGGTCTTCTGACCTTCTCTGATTTGCGTAAAGTACATGAAACAACTTAACATAAGGCGCATGTGATACAACATCGTGTTTTAAATTACCGGTGGCGCCATCTATTTTTGTACGTAGAACAACTGGTTGCAGTAAATGTTTGTTACAGTAGTTTATTTATTTAACACGTGTCATACGCCATCGCTAACCTTAACCTGAGACGGACAGAAATATAGTTATCCTCTTTTGTTCGCGTACAAGAACGTTTATCACGCACCAGTTGTGCGACAAAGACAACTAGCTATTGCACACGACGGAGCTTAAATACGGGAAAATACATGCAGTAACGCAATTAAAGTATTTAATAAAGGTGTTCACAAAATTAACTTATCGTCTACGACTTTCTTTGCAACGACTGATTTGTTAAAACAGTAGGGAGTAGTAATACAGTAGAAAAACATTGGAAATTTAAAAGGAAACTTCATAATCTAAGAATAACAGCTATATGCGATAGTCATCCGACGACATTACCCGTGACATAGTGGGAACGTGCCCTTAAGTTGTGGCTACCGATTTCAGGCGTAGTTAGTATCAAGAGAGACACGACGAGTGGACAACGTGCCTACAAGATGCGACTTCTCTCAACTTTATTGTGTTGTGTACTCTTCGGAACCCTCACATCACTAACGGCTGCCCTCAGTGAGTACAAATATTAACAATCTTACTAAATTTTCGGTCTGTCCTCGGTTATTTCCACACCAATAGTACTTAGGGTCCTTCAAGAAGTGAGCTTATCATTTCCTCAAAGGCCGGCAACGCATTTGTAGTTCCTCTGGTGTTGCGGATGTCAATAGGATCGTTGACCACCTCGGTGTTCAAGCCCCTCGTTTGATCCTTCAATTATAAAAAAAAGTACGGATTCACACTGCTTCTGAGGGCACCCACGTTATAACTTGACGGGACCACTGACGCTGGCAACTTATTCCACTCCCATGCTGTGAGCACGAGAAACGATGCCTCAAATCGCTTCGTTTGAAGACGATTTGCATGAAATTTAAGTGTCTGGATACATAAGCATTTTGATTTCAGCTTTCTTAGACAGTATCAGTGTCGGGGACCTGCGAAGTGTGAAAGTTGTATATAGTAATAAATACATCTAACAATTGTCATGTAAAAAAGATTATTGTTGTGAATATTGATTAAGGGGTCGGATGCCATTCGAATACTTTACAGATATTTTAATTATAAACGTAATTATAAAAATCTAATTCTGACTAATGGTCAAATAATTACAGAAACATGCGACCAATGCGTTAAGATAACAGAATGTGCACCGGCTATGAATGATCTCCGCACAAATCGCAGTCCGGCGGCAGTTAAAAAACTGCAAGATGCACTTTGTGGCTTTGATGGCATACAAAAGGTAAATAACCTTATTGTAATTTCAAAGTATATTTCCAAGTGTTACAAAATTAAGGTTGATTAGAGGCTTTGTAAAAGTTTTTATTTTAATTTAAAATGATCATAATACAAATATACATTCATAATTCTATAATTTGTACTAATATTATGAAGAGGGAAGATTTGTATTTTTGTATGTATTAAATTAACTCAAAAACTACTGAACAGAATTCAAAAATTCTTCGACCATAAGAATGGTTAATTTATCTCTGAATAACATTGGATGTGTTTTTAATTATTTTTTTTTAATTTCACACGGGCGTAGTGGTGAGTAACAGCTACTTATTTTTTAAGCATTGAATGTGTTAATGGAAAAAATCAGTTAATGCCACGCCTTTTTGTATGTCATTCAGAGTTTTGATAACCTATGAACTATGTACATATATGCATGTAGTATAGACCGACTAAATTATCTGACTCCGTGAACCTAAATCAAACTAAATTATGATAGCTAACCAGTTTCCCCTCTTAATGTCTAACTTTATTTAGTTGTAATTTTTACGTTGTTTTAATAGGTCTGCTGTTCCGATTTCTTTTCAAGTCGATCTTTGATTGAAGAAGTAGAAAC